ACTTGCAACCAGAGGAGCAGCAGGCAGCAGCAGCTCCTTCCAGGCTGACCCCCAGAACCTGTATCCAATGCCCCTTTTCTCTGACTCTCCAGTGAGCTAAGCAGTCCCATGTTGGCTCACTTCTTTCCTATAATCTTTCCAGAGAGTCAAAGCAGAGCATTGCCTAGGCCAGCCGTGGGCAAACTACGGCCCGCGGGCCGGATCCAGCCCGTTTGAAATGAATAAAACTATTGAAAAAAAGACCGTACCCTTTTATGTAATGATGTTTACTTTGAATTTATATTAGTTCACACAAACACTCCATCCATGCTTTTGTTCCGGCCCTCCGGTCCAGTTTAAGAACCCATTGTGGCCCTTGAGTCAAAAAGTTTGCCCACCCCTGGCCTAGGCTCTCTCCTGTTGCTTCTACTACCCTGACTCCTTCCTTTGTTCCACTGTCCCCAGCGTTAATAAAAATACTCTCAAAATCACCTGGACTCAAGAAGGCTATGCACAAGCCGGGAGCAGCTTCCAGCTCCGCTCCTGGGACTTGTCAAAGGGCCCTGGCAGGCTTGTCCCCCTCCAACCTCCTCCCGCACCCCCGCCGCCTAATGCACTCCACCAGGTCCAAGACGTCTGTCTCTACACAACTCACTGTAGGCTGTGATGACATGAGCAACAAAGAAGGATTGGGAGGGTTCTGGAAATGGAAGCATGACAATTTTCCCCACAACCAGAGGAGAGAAGGGTAGGATGTTAATGCATCGTCACCTGTGATGGTGGCCTTCAAATCATTTCAGCAGGAACTTGATGTAAGACATGACAAATATGAGAGACTTGTGAAACTTAGTTGGGATGTAACTGTAGAAAGTAAAGGATAATTTTTCTGCTCCATAGGATTACAAGTGCTTCTGATATGGAGAAAATATTGACTGAGCCAGAAATTAAATTAGATGGTGTCAGACAAAAGATACTGCAGGTGGCCCAGGAGCTCTCTGGAGAAGAGATGCATTAATTCCATAGAGCCATTACCACAGGACCTACCACAGGAATTCAGGAATATGTGGAGGCCGTCTCTTTTCAACACTTTATTAAAACACGATCACTTATCAGTATGGATGAAATTAATAACAACTGGTATTTACAACAGAAGACAATGGGAAAGAAATTAAGACCATGAGGAAACTAAGGTTTAGAGAGATGAAATAACTTGCCCAAGGGCATGCCCCTTATGAGACAAGGTCCTGGAAGAGGTGGGAGGAGAGGTCAAGGTCATTTGAAAGACTTAATCTCAAAACAAGAGGAGGGACAACTCATCATCTGAGACTGGAGGATAGAAGCCCTCTTCTGATGCTCAATGCTCACGATAGAGAGTTTGGTACTTGGAGACTGAAAATCACCCCTGTTGATTACCTCCTGGGAGTGGCTGATCTAACTGGTGAGTTGATGCTGATGTGTGTGAACATTGTGGGCAATGGGGACATTGATACCCCCTTTGAAGTGAGCCAGTTCTTATGCCAGGTTTATGCTGGGTTTTCATTCATTGGCAATACTGGACCTTACCAGGTTTCTAAGAAGCTGTATACCTTGAGACAGAGCGTGGCCAAAGTGGAGAATGCGTGTTAGGCCTTGAAAGTCAGAGGCTCAGAAAGTCCAAGACCAGTTTGTAAGACTAGTATTTGATATTTTATTTGACTTTATTGTGGCTTTTACATAGGAAATTTTCAGTTTTACTTGTTTTGAATTATATACAAGCCGTACAAAAAAGTATCAAATGAATCATTTTCTGTGTCTTACTCACGAAAGTTTGCATTCGAATGTTTACCTATATGCCTATTTGAATTTTTGCTGGCTAAATTCTATCATTGTCTCTGCACTATAAATGTGCCAGCACTTTCTGCTACCCGTTTCACTTTACTTTGTGTGAATTTTGAGTGGTAGTAATTAGTAGAAGCCATTTATATTAAAGTTGATGGTTTTGTAATATATAGAAAAGACTTTTTAGTTATATACCTGGACTTGAGCTTTTTGTTAAATTTATTGGTAATATTGTGCCAAGTCTCCAAAATAAGCTTATTCCATAGAACAGAATTAAAACTACTAAGTTATCAATATACATTAAGGTTATGTGGCATTGTGATAAGAATTCACATTATATTCTGGCTAATTTAGGCCACTTTGAAATAGCCTTCCAGAAAAATTGACAGATACCCAGATGTTAGTTTCTACATTTAACTTTTATGCTTTATCACAGGAAGTCTGATAAGAGAATTGGAATTAATATTGTAATATTTTTACTGATGTTTCAGTTGAATTATACACTTGTACATACAATTGTAAAGCTTTTAGTAGTGATTAGTTAGCAATTTTTTTGTTGTCTATTATATTGACATTAGGTATGTTTGGAGACTTTCCTATTTTAGCATCTATAAGAAATTACATTTAAATAATTATAATGAAGTTTTGAAATTTTTTAAATACTGAGTTAACCCAAACCTTTTTTATAGTTGTCTAAATGCCCATTTGTGTTAATTGGTAGTATAAAAAGTTGCCAAAGAAAATTTATCCTGTACAATTCAGCAATAAGATAATTGTCAACACAGTTAAGAACAACAATGGTAGTTTCTAGTTATATATATATCTTAGATGTACCAGTTAACAATGGGGGATTTTGTAATCAAAGAAAACATGATAATTTCAAGAGAAACATCCAAACTGCTTCATTCAAAGTAATGTCCATTGCTAGCTACACATTTCTCCCATCTTTCAGGTAATTTGTGGATTCCGTCCCAATAGAACTTTTCTTGTTTTGTGGCAAACCATTCAGAGACCCAAATTTTCACTTCTTCGTACATTTTGAAGTGCTGCTCAGAAAGTGCATGTGCCATCGATCCAAACAAGTGGTAATCTGAAGGAGCAAGGTCTGGTGAATACAACTGGTGGGTTAATACTTCCCAGGCAAGATCTCTTAACGTGTCTTTAACTGGTTTTGAAGTGTGTGATGGTGCATTATCATGAAGCAAAATTACTTATCTGTGTCTTCTGGTGCATTCTGGTCATTTCACTATCAAAGCATGGTTCAAATTGATTATTTGTTGTCGGTAGCCATCAGTAATGGTTTCGTGTGGTTTTAGAAGCTCATAATACACCACACCTTCCTGATCCCACCAAACGCAGAGCATTGTCTTCTTTCTGATGGGATTTGGCCTTGCAGTCGATGTTGATGGTTGACCTGGATCAACCCATGATTTTGTGCATTTGGGATTCTTAAAACAAATCCACTTTTTATCGCCAGTCATAATTTGATGCAAAAAAGACTTTTTTTCATGCCGTTGAAGCAACATTTTACTGATGATTTTTTAGTTTTCCATTTGTCTTTTGTTCAGTTGACATGGGACCCATTTTCCTTTCTTTAAAATCTTTCCCATTGCTTGTAAATGATCAGAAATTGTTTTCTGAGCAACGTTTATTCTTTCTGCAAGTTGTTTTTGAGTTTGACACACATCTTCATCCAATAATGCTTGTAATTGTTGGTCTTCAAAGTTTTTCAGTAGACCTGGACGTTCTTTGTCTTTCACATTGAAATTATCACTTTTAAAGCGTTTAAACCAGCATTCACAAGTATCTTGAGATGGAGCATGTTCGCCATAAGCTTCCTGATATATACAATAACTTTTTTTTCAAAATAAAGTAATGAATTAAAACTTCCTGCAAATGCTCTTTTTTTTTTTTTTTTGGCACGGAATTCAACAATTTTAAGTGTAAAAATATCTATGATGTTAACACCTTCAGCAAATTTGACATATGAAGTTTTGAAGCTTGCTGTCAATACAACAAAATAGCATACATATCAAATCGCATTTATATCAACATATGTGTAACTCCATGTATTGAAAAAAATCCGCATTATTAACTGGTACACCTAGTATATTTTACATATGTGAATATTTATTTAGAATAACAAATCACAAATTACAAATTTTATAACTTGACAATTAGCACAGATATTTCAAAGTCCAGAAAAACAACATTCTAGTTTTATTAACTGCTTGACATATCTCTATATTGCCTTTTTTACATATTCGGGGTGAGGGGAGTGTAAATGTCTTTGTAATGATTTTGTAGTCTTTTTAAAAAACATTTTTATTGATTTCGGAGAGGAAGGGAGGCGCAGAAACATCAATGAGGAGAGAGAATCATTGATCAGCTACCTCCTGCACACCCCCTACTGGGAATCAAGCCCACAACCCAGCGGGAGCCCTTGACTGGAATTGAACCCTGAACTCTTAGGTCCGCAGCCTGCACTCTATACACTGAGCTAAACTGGCTAGGGCACGTCTCATGTCTACAAAACCTGCCTGCCTTGGTGAAAACTGTAGGGAAATGACCTTTCTGCGTGGGCTCCAGTCGGCGAGAGTGCTGAGGAACCAGGGCGGGGAGCGCCCACCACCGCCGCTGTGGACTCCAACTGCTGGACCACCGGGTACTCTCTAGTAATCAGTGATGGCGAACCTATTACACGTGTGTCAGAGGTGACATGCAAACTCATTTTTTTGGTTAATTTTTCTTTGTTAAATGGCATTTAAATATATAAAATAAATATCAAACATATAAATCTTTGTTTTACTATGGTTGAAAATATCAAAAAATTTCTATATGTGACACAGCACCAGAGTTAAGTGAGGGTTTTTCAAAATGCTGACACACCGAGCTCAAAAGGTTGGCCATCACTGCGAGTCTAGTTACATTGCAATTTGCCTGCAGAACTTAGTTGTCTAAGTTATCTGCGATGTGAAACCTGACCTCAGACATTTCCTTTTGCGTTTTGTATTTTAGACAAAATCTATTTACCGTCCCTAACTTCACGGCAGCCAGGGCTACGCGGTCACAAGTCCCTGCCCATTGGAGAGGTTTGCTGGGCATCACCCAGAGCCTCTCCCGCACCCTCCCGCGCGTGCTGGAGGCGGAAGGGGGCGGGGCCGGCGCTTCAGGGTCAAGGCGACTCCCGGCTTCGCTCCCTGAAGGTCGCGAGGAGTCCTGACTGGGAGGCGCCGCTTCCACTGCCACTGCCACTGCCACCCCTTCTGCCTCCATCACTCCGTGAAGGTTCCGGAATAGCGGAGCGTGGGGAATTGGAGGCTGACCCCTTGAGGCTGCCGGTGGAGCAGGATCACTCGCAGGGACCCGCAAGGTTCCGGGGCTGAGAACCGAGGCTGCCCGGGGCAGTGGCTCGCCCAGCCGTCTTAGGGTAAATCGGGCTGAAGAAGGGGCAGAAGGGTTAGAAGGCGCAGGGAGGCCATCTAGTACCAAGCAAGTGACGGCCCTGCGAGGCGGTTTTGCCGACTGCGCTTTCCGACCCAGGACTCCTCTTTCCAGACGGAAACTCGGAAACTCGGCTACGGCTTCAGGCGGACCCGGGATGGGCTCGCTGGTCCCGGCGGGCATGGCTGTCGCGGAGGAGGCGGCGGCGGTGGCAGGCTTCCCGAGTGGCTTTCTGTGGCCGCTCCTGGTTCTGTGGTGCTGGGTGCCCACCACAGGTAAGGTGGCGGGGGGTGGGGTCGAGTGAGGTGGGGGTGACGTGGGGGTGGGGTGAGGTGGGCGTGGGTGAGGTGGGGTGAGGTGGGGAGAGGTGACGTGGGGTGGTGGGGTGGCGCTAGGCAGGCTCCCCCTGGCCTTTCGGGGGCCCCGCCCTAGGTCCTCGGCCACCTGTACCTTAACAGTCCCCAACTCTAAGCTTTCCTTTGTGGAATTGTAGGAATCAATTAAACGGATTTGAAAATTTCTAAGAAATTGCAAGACACCAGAATAATCAAAACAATATTGAAAAGGAAGAACAAAGTTGGAGGATCTTATGCGGATTAAAGAGGGGCCATGAACTCAGGGCCTCTGTACCTGAGATAGCCCCCCCCCCCCCCCCCCCCGCCCCAAAGGAATTTGTTTTTGTGTTTTGTTTTTTAATAAGTTCTTTTTTTAAAAAAATATATATTTTATTGATTTTTTACAGAGAGGAAGGAAGAGAGAGACAGAGAGTTAGAAACATCGATCAGCTGCCTCCTGCACATCTCCTACTGGGGATGTGCCCGCAACCAAGGTACACGCCCTTGATCGGAATCAAACCTGGGACCTTTCAGTCCACAGGCCGATGCTCTATCCACCGAGCCAAACCGGTTTCGGCATTGTGTTTTGTTTTTTTATAAAGGGACAGGCAGAGTGCTGCTACATAGTAAGCTCTTTTTATAAAGATATATCTTTTTTATTGATTTCAGACAGGAAGGGAGAGGGAGAAAGAAATATTAATGACGAGAGGCTCATTGATCGGCTGCCTGCTGCACGCCCCCTACTGGACAAGGAATTTGTTTTTATTTACAAGGTAAAGTCTGAGAGTACAAGGCCTAAGTTTTTTTCAAGGTTCTCCCATAACTGAATTTTCTTCTTTCCACAGATTTGATAGTGGAGATGGAAGGCAAGAATCAGACTGTGTTGCTGAATGACAATGCCACCATCCCCTGTGACGTCCCTGGTTCCACACCCCTGAACATCACGATTATGGGTGTTACCTGGTATCGGAAGCATCAGGCGTATGAGCAAAAGGTGTTTGAAATGTATGGAGACCCTAATCCTAAAGAGGTATCCAGACCCGGAGCCAGCGTGTCTCGAGAGGCGCTAGAGAAAGGGGACGCCTCACTGCACCTTCCTGGAGTCCAGCTGTCGGACGCAGGAGAGTACCGATGTAAGGTGGTGGTCACCCCCTATGAGGTCCAGGCAACAGTCTTTCTAAAGGTTTTGGGTGAGTGCCTGAGGCAGTGTCCTGTGGTTCCCATGGTGATGGGGCTGGGGGTAGAGATGTGGCCCCGCCAAGTAGAGAAGTTTGGGCACGGGCCTTGGAGTTGGATAGACACGGGTTTATGTCTGGACAACTTAGAGCGAATTATTAACCAGGCTGAACCTCAGTGTCCTTTTCTCTAAATAGATGCAATAGTACCTCTATAAGGACCCTGTCTCCAGCCCTAGCCGGTTTGGCTCAGTGGATAGAGCGTCGGCCTGCATACCAACGGGTCCTAGTTTAAAAAAAGACCCTATCTCCAAATAAAGTCACAGTCTAAGAGAATGGGCTTAGGGCTTCAACATGAATTTGGGGGTGGGGCCACAATGCAGCCTATAACCAGGACAATGTCTATGAGCCCTTCAAAATTGTACTTAAGACTTTGAATGTTTTGTACATATTAATTAGGGGGATGGGAAAGCATATTAGTAATTATTTCCTCCGCAACTGACAGAAAGCCTAAAAAATTTTTTAAGAAGTAATAGACTTTATTTTTTAGAACAGTTTTAGATTTACAGAAAATATTGCAAAGATAGTAGTTTCTTTATGACTCCTGCCTGTGCACATACTGCTTTCTCTATTATTAACCTCTTGCATTAGTATGGTATATTGGTTAAAATTAATGAACCAATATTGATACATTTTTATTAATTAATGTCCACAGTTTATTCAGATAGCCTTAGTTTTGACCTAATATCCCTGATAATTTTTCTTGTTCTAAAGGCTACTTTGAAATTCATAGAGTTATTCCAGTTTTCTTTAGATTAGCGTTAGTATGGTATATAAATCCCTTTACTTTTGTTATTGTTGTTGCTAATATTCTCCTGAGGATATTTTTTCCCATTGATTTTTTTTTTTGGTTTGTTTTGATTTTTGAGAGTGGAAGGGATGGAGAGGGGAAGGTGGGAGAGAGAGGCAGAGAGAGACATGGATGTGAGGAAGATATTGATTGGTTGCCTCTCCCATGCACCCAGACTGGGGCCAGGGGCTAAACCTGTAACCAAGGTACCTGCCATTCATTGGCTGGAAATAGGACCTGTGACCCTTAGGTGCATGGACCAGTGCTCTAGCCATTTAGCACACCAGCCCGGCTCAGTTATACTTCTTTCAAATTTTTTTAGTGATTGCAATGTACTTTCACAACTAACCTAAGTTGAAAGAACACTGTACTGCATCATTGTTATCAGTGGTACAGATATTTTATTTCCAGTTCTCCCTTCCCATCTCTTAAAACATTCTGTCATTCACTTACCCATATGCTATAATCACCAATGCATTGTTGCTATTATTTTAAATCAACAATTATGTATTAGATCAATTAAGCATAAGGAAAGATTTTAATTTACCTTCATTTATGTCTTCTCTGATTCTAGTTTCTGACCCATATCCTTTTCCTTCTCTCTGACAACTTTCTAGTATTTTGCAAGGAGGGTCTGTTGGTGACATAGTCCCTCAGTTTTGTTTGAGAAAGTATTTATACTTCACTTTGTTGTTGTTGTTGTTGTTTCTTTTATTATTTTTTTTAAATTAAATCTTTATTGTTCAGATTATTACAGTTGTTCCTCTTTTTTCCCCCCATAGCTCCCCTCCACCTGGTTCCCCTCCCACCCTCCGCCCTCACCCCCCACCACTGTCCTCATTCATAGGTGCATGATTTTTGTCCAGTCTCTTCCCGCATCCCCCACACCCTTTTTCTCCCCAAGAATAGTCAGTCAACTCCCTTTCTATGCCTTTGATTCTATTATAATCATCGGTTTATTCTGTTCATCAGATTATTTATTCACTTGATTTTTAGATTCACTTGTTGATGGATGTGTATTTGTTGTTCATAATTTGTATCTTTACCTTTTTCTCCTTCTTCCTCTTCTTAAAAGATACCTTTCAGCATTTCATATAATGCTGGTTTAGTGGTGATGAACTCCTTTAGCTTTTCCTTATCTGTGAAGCTCTTTATCTGACGTTCAATTCTGAATGATAGCTTTGCTGGATAAAGTAATCTTGGTTGTAGGTTCTTGGTATTCATCACTGAATATTTCTTGTCACTCCCTTCGGGCCTGCAAAGTTTCTGTTGAGAAATCAGCTGACAGTCGTATGGGTACTCCCTTGTAGGTAATTGACTGGCTTTCTCTTGCTGCTTTTAGGATTCTCTCTTTGTCTTTTGCGCTTGGCATTTTAATTATGATGTGTCTTGGTGTGGTCCTCTTTGGATTCCTTTTGTTTGGGGTTCTCTGCGCTTCCTAGACTTGTAAGTCTATTTCTTTCACCAGGGACGGGAAGTTTTCTGTCATTATTTTTTCAAATAGGTTTTCAATATCTTGCTCTCTCCCTTCTTCTGGCACCCCTATAATTCAGATGTTAGTATGCTTGAAGCTGTCCCAGAGGCTCCTTACACTATCTTCGTATTTTCGGATTCTTTTTTCATTTTGCTTTTCTGGTTGGGTGTTTTTTGCTTCTTCGTATTTCAAATCGTTGATTTGATTCTTGTGATCCTCTGGTCTGCTGTTGGGAGTCTGTATAATATTCTTTATTTCAGTCAGTGTATGCTTAATTTCTAGTTGGTCCTTTATCATAACATCGAGGGTCTCACTAGATTTCTTGAGGGTCTCATTAAGTTTATCGGCAGTTTCTAGAAAATTCTTGAAAAACCTTAAAAGTGTGGTTTTGAACTCTATATCCAGTAGTTTGCTTTCCTCCATTTCTGTCATTTGTGTCCTGTTTCTTTGTCTCTGCACTTTTTTATGCTTCGCTGTGTCGATAGAGTGGCTTTCTGTGCTAAGTGTCCTTTAGGACCCAGTGGCTCAGCCTCCCCAATTACCTGAGGTGGACACTCTTGGTGCACCCCCGTGTGGGCTTTGTGCACTGTCTTGTTGTAGTTAAGCCTTGATTGTGGTAGGTGACACTGGGAGGAATTGACCTCCAGGCCAATTGGCTATGAGAATCAGCTGTATCTATGGTGGGAGAACTTCTGTTCTGAAGACACCCTTATGGGGCAAAACTTGCTTCAGTGGGGCTTTGGTGCTCACTGAGTCTGCCCCCTGAGTGTGTCCCTTATGGATCTGAGTTGTAATTGGATGGTCCCACTCTGACCACTGGGTACACTGGCTCTTGGATCTAAGGAGGTGCTAATCTAGCCTCTGCCTGAGGCTACCCAGCAGAAGCCAGCTGTAAAGCAATGCAAGTTGCCCTGGGGCCTTGGGGCAGCTGCAGTTTCTTAAGTAATTTTCAGATTACAAAGGGCCGGGTCTTTCATATGCAATAGCCTCCCTGCACAGCTTGGGCGGTGCAGGGTCCCAGGGGATCAACAGGGCAGGCGAAGCGAGCAGTATGGCTGCTCTCAGTCCTGCCCTCAGAGGCCCCGGCAATCGCAGCAAGCACCTCCCAGAGAAAGCTGCCCTCAAGTTCCGACTGATGCCAGACAGTCCAGTTTCTCCCCGTATGAGTCTGGTCCCCAGAGACTCGCCCGGAACTGGAGCTCAGAGCTTGAGACTCCCTCCCGATTGAAAAAGACAATTGTGTCCTCAGCCGCCAGCCCTCTCCGCATGCACCTCTGCACCTTTGTATTTTATTTCCGCACCGCACCTCCTCTGAGTCTCGGTATGCTTTTCTCTTTCCTTCTAGTTGTAGAATTTCCACTCAGCCATCCTTCCTGTGGTTCTGGATGATGTCTGTTCTGTCTTTTAGTTGTATTTTTGAAGTGGTTGTTAGAGGCAGCAATCTCCGGTGTTTACCTATGCCGCCATCTTGGTTTCTCTCTATATTTCACTTTTTTTTTTTTTAAAAAAAAAAATACATTTTATTGATTTTTTACAGAGAGGAAGGGAGAGAGATAGAGAGTCAGAAACATCGATGAGAGAGAAACATCGACCAGCCGCCTCCTGCACATCCCCCACTGGGGATGTGCCCGCAACCCAGGTACATGCCCTTGACCGTAATCGAACCTGGGACCTTTCAGTCCGCAGGCCGACGCTCTATCCACTGAGCCAAACCGGTTTCGGCTATATTTCACTTTTGAATGATAATTTTTCTGAATATAGGATTCCAAGTAAGTGGGTTATTTTCTTTCAACACTTAAAATATTTCATGTCCCTCTCTTCTCTCTTGCATTTAAGAAGTCCAATGTTATTCTTATCCTTGTTACTCTATGAGTAAGTTATACACATATATATATACATATATATATATATGTATAGTTCTGCATTTTCAATATGATAAGGTGTTTTCCTGCTTGGTGTTCTCTAAGCTTCCTATGTCTATGCTTTGGTGTCTGTCATTAATTTTGGAAAATTCTCAGCTATTATATTTTAAACGATTTCTTCTGCTTCTTTCTCTTTACTTCTTTTTGTATTCCTATTACATGTACATTACAACTTTTGCAACTGTCCAATTTTTGGATATTTCTTTCCCTTCTGGTTCCTTCCTCCTCCCACCTCCCCAAATTCATTTTGCTCTTTGCATTTTAGTTTGGGAAGTTTATATGGACATATTTAAGCTAGCTGATTCTCTCTTTGGCGGTGTTAAGTCTATTGATGATCCTGTCAAAGACATTCCTCATTTCTTTTATAGTGTTTTTGGTTTCTAGCATTTACTTTCTTTTTTTAAAAAAAATATGTTTTTATTGATTTTTTACAGAGAGGAAGGGAGAGGGACAGAGAACCAGAAACATCGATGAGAGAGAAACATCGACCAGCTGCCCCCTGAACACCTCCCACCAGGGATCTGCTCCCAACCAAGGTACATGCCCTTGACCGGAATCGAACCCAGGACCCCCCAGTCTGCAGGCCAATGCTCTATCCACTGAGCCAAACCAGTTTGGCTAGCATTCCCTTTTGATTCTTTATTAGAGAATGTCCCTCTCTGTGCTCACATTATCCATCAGTGCTTGCATGTTGTCTGCTTTTTTCATTAGTGCTCTTAACATTTTAATCATAGTTATTTTGCATTTTCTACCTGATTATTCCAAAATCTGTGTCATACGGGAGTCTGGTTCTGATGCTTTTGTGTTTTTTTTGCACTATTCAGCACGCCTTGTAATTTTTTGTTGAAAGCCAGATATTATGTATCAGAAAATAGGAACTGAGGTAAACAGGCTTCTAGGGTGGGAGTCTATGTTAATATGGCTAGGAATTGGGCAGTGTTTAATGTTCATACCATGCTGTAGGTGTCAGAGATTTCAGTTTTCCTCTAGCATCTTGTTTCCTCCTTCCCTGTTTTCTTTCAGTTCCCCTATGAACTCCTCATGTAGATTTTGTGTCTTGCAGCTCTCTCAGTTGTAATCTATTATCATTATACGGAGCCCGGTTGATGTGGTGGTAAAATGGTGTGGAGGGGAAGCAGTCTATCATCTGAATTAAATCTCATTCTCTGAGTGGCCTGAGCCCCTAGGCTATGACCTTCAGCAGTGTTCCTGTGTGAGAAAGGAAGGTTATAGAGGGCTGAAGAGCTAATCACCATTCTCCCAGGTCAGCTGGCAAAGTCTTCTCTTTTGAGAGCATTCTTTGTTATGGAGAATGCATTGGGTATATTTTTATTTTTATTTTTATTTATTTTTTTATTTAAAAAATA